AGAACCCTGCACAGAGAACCTCCTGGATCCAGAAGACAGCTGTGACACCAGAGGAGCAGCAGCAGCAGAACCAGCAGTCAGAGCATGGGACCGAGTGATGGACTTATCGACCACGGAGCAAGGAAAGCTGAGGGCTTTTGTGCAGGAGGCTGGCTGGTGGAGTGGGGTGCCCTGGGCACTTAATTAGGGAAGTTGCGCTTGCTGATCCTGGATGTGGAGCTGAGTGCCTTCGGGCTGAGGTTTATTGGGGTGGGGTGTGTCTGGGCACTTAATTCAGGGAGCTGGGTTTGCTGACCCAAGGAGAACTTGGGCTGAGGTCCTAGGATGGAGAAAGACCACTGAGTGGCATGCCCCTTGGGGCATTTACTTGCAGACCTGAAACTTTGGGGCTCTTCCTGATGAACAACTCAACCCTGAGCATTTCTCACCCACATTACAACTTGTCGACTTCCTTACTAAACCCTTTAAGAGTGAATTTTGAGTGGATTTTACATCCGTTGCAATGGATATCGGAACCCAGAGAAATGAAGCCGAGAGGTAAATTACAGAACATCAAAGAAGGCAAAGCGCACAGCCAGGGCTGTGAGAGTGGGGCAGGACCGATCACTGTTTTGTTCTGCTCTCCATAGGGTTGCAATGGCCCCCGACAACAATCCTTGTGTGAATTTCAACCAGAGAGAGAGAGAGAGAGATCTGTGTGTGGTGTTTCTGCACTCTTCCTTTAAAACCAGGTCAGCCTGGACCAAGCACCCCGCCCTGCCTTCCCTCCTGACCCCGGCTCCCTGCCCTGCCCAGGTTCACATGGGGCAGCTGGCCAGGGCGGGCCAGGGCTGGCAGTTCTCCCCAGGAAGCAGCTGGGGAGGTGCTGATCCTTGAAGAGATGGGTGGATCCCAGTCCTGCCCAGGAGCAGTTTTTCAGGCCTGGTGTAGCAGAAATGCCTCTACTCCAGCTAAACGATACACGGGCTCCCTTTAATGGCTGATGGAAACCAGTCTGGCAGGCAGTGCTTATGCAATAACACCTTACAGGCTGCCCCCCGGGTTATGAGCAAGGCTTGTGGTGTGTCCTTTCAGTTGCCTGGCAGGTAAGTTGGAGCAGGTGCCCGCGGGCTGGAGACCTTTTCAGTGGTGTATGTGTTACTCATGAAGAGCCCGATGATGGTGATTTGTTTCAAGTGGGGAGAAGCCCTGCTGGGTCAGCGGCTAGCCTCTAGCTTGCTGATGAAGGGTCGGCAGTTCAAACCTACCCGCTGCTTCACAGGAGAAAGATGAGGCGTTTGTGCCCATAAAGAGTTTCAGTAATTACCAGAGCTGTTCTACTCTGTTCTGTAGGGTTGCTATGAGTCGGAATTGACTCAACAGCAGTGAGTTTTTGTATTTTTGGTTTTCTGCAGGGGGTGGGGGTGGGGAGTTGTTGGTCAGTCAGCTGTTCATCACAAGGGGAATTGCCTGGACTTTTTACCCTGTAGGCAACTGGCAGATATTTTCACATTGCCAAAGATTTCTGGAGCAATTATTCCAGAAAGTTTTGTGTGTTTGCGCGTGAAGGATGCACGTTTTTCATGCGATTTAGTGCTGTGTGTGTGTGTGTGTGTGTGTGTGTGTGTGTGTGTCTCTTGGTGTTTTGCATTTTGCTTCTGATTTTAAAGGATGGTGGTGACACATGTAGAAAATTAGAAATTGCTACTTAAGTAGGGAGTTCTTGTTGGCCACTGTTGGAGACTTTACTATGGGGGCTGGGAGGGGGCGCTGGGGAGCAGGGAAAGGGGGGTGGCAAGAATGTGTGCCGTGTGTTTCGCTCGTTCAGCTTTGTGCACTGGACAGAACCAGCCGAATTTGAAATGGCTCTCCCTGTGCCCACTCAACTGAGGTTTTACAAAGCAATGTGTTTATTACACTGGTACGTGTTCAACTCACTGATCGACCCTACAAAATCATTCCTAGGTGGGGCAGGGGACGGCTTCAACCAGTCTTTGGGGAAACCCCTTCATCTTTTGGTTTCCTTTGTGCACGGACTTTTTGAAGCCCCCTTGTGCGCAGCTGCAGTTGCGGTGTCAGGAAGACGCCGGGCTTTCGGGTCAAGCAGGAAGCCGATTCTGCTTTAAAACTAGGAGCAGGATGGAGCTGCCAAGGGATCACACGGGTGCTCTGTATCTCCGCTGGGAGGGAAGATTGTCTGAGGCTAATTTCCAAACTGTTAGATCTCTGAGTAGCGCTATACCTCGGTCCTTGGCTCCACGCGAGAAAGAATTCACGCCGAAGCCTGGTTTGTGATCCAAGTGAGTTTTATGAGCGTTAGAAGAAGTTTCAGGTTCACACAGGCAGCCGCAGGGCTGCTTACCCCGTGCAGCCTGCCTAGAAGCTGCTGGGGAAGTCCTGCAGTCTGCTCCCGGCTCCTGCCTTTTCAATTATTCCGCGGGGAGGCGTGGTGAATGACCCTGGTCGACCCCATTGGCTGAATTGAATTCACCTGGCCTAGGTGGGCCAATCCAGGTGCAGCTCCCACCCAGGTGTACCGCCCCTTCCTGGCCAGAAACCTGAGCCTCTGAGGCCTCGCCGTGAACCACTCCTTCACGAGCTGGTACCTCCGACCTCTGCGCATGCGTAATGGACGCCCCAGGCCCTAAGCTAGACTACCTAACAAAACCTTCCTGCTCGTCGAGTGTATGTGATCTTTCTTCAGGTGGAAAAAGTTTATTGGGAAGCTTTGAAATACATCTTATGGCCCTAAAAAGCGAGACCAGGTCTAAAAACATGAAACCGTTTCCTAACACAGTTTCCATCGAGCGAGGAGATAGAGATTTACAGTGTCTGTGGGTTCTAAGGAGCCCTGGGTTTCTTGATTAGTGGGTTCCTTACACCTTGAGTCGCTAACTGCAAGGTCAGCAGTTCAAAGTTACCGTTCACTCTTAGGGACAGATGTGAGGCTTTCTACTCATGAAAAAGATTTACAGGAACCCCCCAGGGCCTGTTCTGCTCAGTCCTATAGAGTCCCTATGTGTTTTCAAGGGATATCTAAGAGTAATTGTTTCAATGATCAGTTCCTTTAAAACAGATAAGCAGCAGGTGAAAGTGGGAGCAGCTCTATGTATTTGATGGCAGGGGTCTGTTCTGGATCCTTCTGCTGTGATTGGGTTGTCACCTTGGGGCACAGCGTGGAGAGTTGTTGACTGCAGGCACTGAGCGGCTGCATTTCTGTCTTCCTGTAGGTCTTCACCTATAAGCAGAGCACAATCACGCACCAGAAGGTGACCGCCATGCACCCGGCGAACGAGGCGGGCGTGGACGACATGGCGACTCTGACCGAGCTCCACGCAGGCTCCATAATGTACAACTTGTTCCAGAGATACAGGAGGAATCAGATATACGTGAGTGCCGCACCGTCGTCAGCCTCCTCTGTCTGTCTGTCTGTCTGTCTGTGTCTGTCTGTGTGTGTGTGTTGCCGAAAGGCGCCCTCCTGGCAGAGTGGGTTACGTGCTGGGAAACTAACCACAAGGTCAGCGGTTCAAACCCACCAGCCACTCCACTCCCATAACAAGTTACAGCCTTGGAAACCCAAGGGAGCAATGAATTCTACTCACTTGAAGGGTTGCCGTGAGCTGTGAGATACTCACTTGCCATTTTGGGTCCTTGGTCCATAGGAAGCTGTTCCGAATAATTAATTATGCCAGCTTTTCCTTAGCTTGTTCTGTAAACCGTTTCCACTGTAAACCGTTTCCACATCTGGTCCCTAATAATATTTTAATGTCAAAAGCAGTTGCTGTTGCTTCCAACTCACGGCGACCCCCTGTGCTGAAGAGTAGAACTGTGCCTATCGGGTGTTTGAAACCCGGTGTTTGGAAGTAAACCACAGGCCTCTCTTCCGAGGCCCTGCGGGGTGGGCTCAAAGCCCCATCTTTTTGCACTTAACAGCTGCCTGCACTGCCCAGCAGCATGGAAGTACAGATACTGTTATCTATTAGCGACTAGTTGGCCCGCGGTTTCGCTCTTTTTATCTGTCTGTCTGCATGGCTTTTTCGTAAGCTTCATTGTTCTTCGCATTGAGGTCAGATGATTTGCTGTGGATGTTCGGTGCTGTTGAGTTGGTCCGACTCACAGCGACTGTGTGCAGCAGAAGGACACACGTGGTTCTTCCGTGTGAACCCCCTGTGGCAGACCGTGTCATGAGGGCCTTCCTCTTATTTGCTGCCCCTTCACTTCACCGAGCACGGTGGCGTTGTCCCGGAGGTGGTCCCTCCTGAACATCGCCAAAAACACAAGTGACGCTTCACCACCCTGGCCTGTAGGGAACATCCAGGTGTACTTCCCCCAAGTACCAATGTGACAGCTTTTTGTTTTTGTTTTAAAGACACCCAAATTGTGGATCTTCTGTTAGTTAGCCATCCTCTTGAACTCTGCCGGTACACTTGACTGTGAATTCACAAGCCTGCAGGTGGAGCAGTGGGTTATGCGTTAGGCTGCGAACTGTGAGGTCAACAGTTCTGAAACCCACTGCCGGTTGCCGGTCAGTGGGAAAAAGAGGAAGCCTTCTAGTCCTCTAGAGGATTGCTGCCTGGAAACCCACAGGGCCACTTGCACTCTGTCCTGACTCGATGGCAGTAAGTTGCTCTTGCGTTAACGATCGTGCCGGCCTGTGGAATGGCCAGTTAGAATTGGCTATTTTTAGACTTTCAGGCTTTATTTTTTTCAGCATTTTAAAAAAATTAAAAGGTGCCTTTTTCTTTTTTTACACTGTGCAAGTGTGAATTTTGCCAAGTTGACTTAATGTCTGCCACATGTTTTCTAACGGCCCGTCTGGAGAAGTCCAAAGCCGGCCTGTAGCCACAGTGTTCTGACTTGCCGGCCCTTGGACTGAATGAACCTGAGTCTGCTGGTTCACATGTCTCCCATGTGTTCTCCCAGCAGGGTGGTAAGCGTGGGCCCACGTTTGTGTGAGTGGGGGCTTGCCGGTGTTCCGTGTGCCTCAGAGGCCCCCTCCTGGCTGCCTTCCAGGGGGCACCCGAGAGTCTGTGGGAAAGGCCCGTTACCTTTACGTTCCGTTCCTCTGCAGAGGTTTGGAAGGCTCCGCATACCTCCTGCCCACAGTGGTGCGCGTGAGGTATTGCTATTGAAGGCCCTGGTGTCACTGTGGGTTACGTGTTGGGCTGCTAATTGCAAGGTCAGCAGTTCAACCCCCCCAGCCACTTCTCAGGAGAGCAATGAGGCTTTCTACTCCCATGCAGAACTAAAGTCCCAGAAACCCACAGGGCCAATTCTGCACTGCCCTTATAGGGTCTCTGAGTTAGAATCGGCTCAATGCCAGTGAAGTTCGGTTTTTTGTGTGTGGTTTTTAGCGCGCTCCTGTAACGCTCTGGTTTCCCTCCTTGCGGGGTTTGTCAAGGATTTCCTTGTTTTGTCTTCTGTGAGCCAAGGACATCACCAGGCAATAAATGTTTGTGAAACAAATGCCACCCGTATTAGATAAAGACCGTCCTGCCAAGGCTGAGAAACTGATAATTTCCTTTAAACGTGTCTCTTGCGAGGGATCATACAGCTGCCCTTTCTGTCCTGAAAGAAACAAGCCAGTCAAGTCAGAGGGAGAATGCTACCAACCCAAGGTTAAGGGTCAGGTTCTTTATTAACGTTTTCTCTGCATCCGCGTTGCAGTGCAGTCCGGTTCACTGTGGGCAACGGGCCTCGGCACGTTCGTGGAAAATGACGCTGAAAGAGAAAGGCCCCTTTTCCATGAGCTTTCTGAGGCCCCTCGGAGCCCAACAAGGCCGTGCTTTGTGACCTGGATCGAGTACCGTGGTCCAGAAAGCAGGTCCTGGTTTTCTTCTGGTCACTGAGCTGTTGGCAGTGGGTGCCAGCACCTGTTGGACTCTTGGGACCAGGCCACCACCGGAGACAAGGGCAGGACGCTCCCTCCTCGCAGCCTGGCTCCCTGGACACCGGTCTGTACCTTGAAAGAAATAGAGAGAGAAAGAAAGAAAACACATTAGTGTAATGTCACCAGGCATGCTCTGCTTCTTTCAGGAAGCTGCCCACAAACACGCACACTGGTCACCTCGCACGTTGTCATCCTAGAGCTCTGGTGGCCAGAACGCCCACAGGGTCAAGGTGTTGGAGAGGACCCGGCCCTGGCTCGCCCTGGCTGATGGCCGATGTCAGTTCCCTGTGGTTATAGGACGGAGGTCCTGTGCCTTTGCTGACTGTCAGCTGAGGGTCACCCCATCCTCCAGAAGCCACTGCCTTCCTTGGTCCATGGCCCTTTCTTCCTTGCATCGAAGCCAGCCGTGATGGGCAAATCCCTGTCAGTCTTCGGGGCTCCCTGCTGCCTCCCTTCTTCTAGCCGAGGAGGGTTCCCCGCTCTTAAGGACTTCTGTGACTAGAGCGAGGGTGCAGTCCAACGCCCCATCTCAGAGCATGTGGCCTGAGTCACGCAACCACATGCAACCACAGGGGTTTCTGTCACGTGCGGTGGCACAGCCACAGGTTCTGGGTGGGTGATGCCCTCGGGTGGGGGCCATTAGCCTGCCTGCCGTGCGTGCCTCCTCCTAGCCATGTTGAGAAGGCGGGTGGGGGTGGTGGTGCAGCCAGCTCTCACAGTGAGGGTGCACCGTGGCACAGGCTTCATGGGGCCGGCTATGTGTAAACGTCCCCATCACCCTCAGGTTTACAACATAAGCACACCTGTTGGAAAGAGGATGCTGAGGCAGGTGGAGGTGGGCGAGGTGAAGCATAGTCAATAGTGTAGTGATTCGAGGCAAATGTTTTGGGTTCAGATAGAGGCTGAATGGACGGCAGGCAGGTAGGCTCATGAGCAAAGTCAGTCTCTGACGTACTGAGCAGTGAGGGTGCCCCCCCCTGCCCCCCCCCCCATCTTACTTTGGAAAACGCCATTGCAGGAAGAGGACTTGGAAACTGGTGGCGGGGACGCTGCCATGGGCTGCACTGGGGACGTCTTAGCCACTGCAGTAGCTCTGACAGAATGACGATGTGGCATTATCAGCTCTGATATCCACGAGGTCCGAGAGGGCTGGAACCTAGCAGGCGGCAACCAACCACAAGGTGCTGTGAGCGAGAGATCTGAGCTGCATGCAGTGGAGTCCTGGTTGCATCGTTTCTACGTGTTGGGCTGCCAATTGCAAGGTCAGTAGTTTGAAACCATGGGCTCCTCTGCAGGAGAACGACGAGGCTTCCTACTCCCACGAAGAGCTATAGTCTTAGAAGCCCACAGGAGCAGTTCTACCCTGTGCTGTGGGGTCGCTATGAGTCAGAATCGATTCGATGGCAGGGAGCTGAGATCACTTAAATGGTGGTACCCAGGGCTGGAGGCTTAAGGAAATCACACATTCTAGCGATTACCAGGTGGCCCCGGGCCGCTCCTGGCAGGAAGGAGAGGATGTGGCCTCAGTGCTGTCTCCTGTGCCCTCTGGAGCCAGCAGCACTTAAACCACCGTGCGTGCTCAGAGTCTAACTCAGTGGTGACAAGCACAGGCGAGGTCTCGGCCCCCCAGGGAGCTGCCGCCCAGCGCTATGGTGTGGCCACGTTGTTCTCCCAGGACAGAAAAGCAGCCGTTCCCTGGGCTAGGTCCCCAGAGGCGACTCCTCGCCCAGCCTGCCAGGAGTGGCCACAAACCACATCATGGAGGGGCCTGCAGGGACCAACCGAGCCCCCGCCAGGCAGGCGCAGGGGGCGTCTCCGTGGAGGCCGCTGCTGGGTCCCCACCCAGGCCTCTGGTCAGAGTGCGGGCCTGGCTGAGCAAACAGTCGGGATCAGGCTCCAGAGAGGCCCTTTGAAGAAGTGGGGCCGTGTCTAAAGATAACCACCCTGCTGAAGGACACCATGCTCACTGCTCGTGCATTTTTAGGGGCCTCCGAAATAGCTCTGTTTGATGAGGTGGCATTCCAGAACGAGCGTGTGTGTTTGATGTTGTTGCCGGATTCCATTTGAAGCCACTATAGCGGTGCGAGTCGCTGTGTGTGTGAGGCCCGTATGTGGGCTTCAGCAGGCAGGTGGAGACCGCGTGCCCCTCAGAGGCAGATCCCATAGACCATCACCCAAGGCACCTGGTCACAGGGGGCTCGAACCACCAGCCTTCTGGCCAGCAGTCGAGGGCTTATAGCCTTATGACTGGGCATACCCTGCCAGGGGACTAGCTGTTTGGATGTGGCGAATGGGAACCGTGTTTCATTTCCCCAAGTAGAGTCTTTTCCAAAAGCGGCCTTTTTATTGCTTTTTGCTCTTTGTTCGATCACTTCCGTCCCTGCCTGGAGCCAGCCTGGAATATGTCTGGCACAGAGCACAGAGCACAGAGCCCAGAGCTGGGGGTGGCCTGAGGCCGGCTGTGGGTACAGGCTCGCCGCTCGACTGGGAAGAAGAGCC